GTCTGATTGTACAAGTCCACGACCACAAGACTGCAGCGCAGACAAGGGATGTTCAGCGCCCAGCGTCAAAAGCCAATGCTATTGTTCCTCACTCAATACATAATCACAATCCTTATATCACGCCCTCGCCGTATGCGCCCTATCCCAAAGATGACCTGGGCACAGCATCCGACCGGGCTGCGGAGCGAGAGCATGACTCGAAGGAGAAGACGACAGAAGATCGGGACAAAGAGAGCATGCCTGCCCCAAGCCTACCCGGTGAGGGTCACAAGAGCAAGTTGCCGGCGCAACCTAGGATATTTACAGTTGTTCTACATCCGACGCCGCAGAGTCTTCAGGCGGATCTGATGATCAAAACCACCACCCCACAGATGGCGACTGATATTCGCGGCAGCATAGATGGTGTTCCACCAACGCCGATGTCGCTTGTACCACCTACTCCTACTGGTTCGAGTATGCCGCCACCTGCCAAGAAGCTAAAGAAAGAGCGCATGGAACTGGATGCCAGCAACATTCTTGACGCGGAAGCGCAGATTCTTCTCGCGACGAATCCTGTACTCAACCTTGAACCGACCAAGGACGCCAGAGGAACCATTCGCCTGCTGGAGAGCCTGGCCCACCCCAAACACAGCAACCCACCACCAGAGCCCAAAACGCGAAAGAGGACCGTTGCAGAGATGGCCGCAGACGTCGCTTTCGCGGCCGATAAGGAACGTTTCATGCTGACGCTTGACGACAGGCTTTCCGCAGATAGCGGAGGCGTGCAATCGGGTGGGACTGGAGCTGACGGCGAGAACGAGGCCGTGACATCTGCTTTTGAGCCTAACTTCGCACGGTTCAAAGTTATCGCAGACATCAAGCGCGAGCACGCCGAGAAGAAAGAGCAGGAGAAGATCAAGGCTGCGGAGAACGAGAAGAAGCTTGCGCTGCAAAGGCAGCAGCAGCAGCAACAGGCACAGCAGGAGCAGCAGGCTGCCCTCCTAGCTGCACAACGTCAACAGGCCGAGGAAGAAAAGGCTCGGCGCGAGCAGGCAGCCGCAGAGAAGCGTGCTCGCCAGCAGGAGGCTCAGAGACAAGCAGCTCTCGCGCAACGCAGCCAGACCGCAGCCAGCGCGAGCCAACAACATGCACAGCTGGCGAATGGAGGAATGCCAAACAGTGTTGCTGTGCAAAACGGGGGAGTCCCCAACGGCATACCTACGCAGGCCCAGGCTAGATTCGCTCAAGTCGGCCAACCGCAAGTATCCTCGCCGGTGGTTCGCCAAGGTACCCCTCACAGCATGTCTTCGCCTATGCCAGGCGCAGTGTCTATGCAGCAGACCAACTCGAGTATGGCGGCAAGCCCGCCGCGCCCTCCATCTGTGGCTCAGGGCCACCCTGGAAACATGGGTGGAGTGCCAATGACGAACAGCATGTCTCGAGCGAGCCAACAGAGCCATCCGAACGGAACACCTCGAATGCCTCATGGCACGCCCAACATGCAGGGCACGCCAGTGCCTCAGCGCGCCATGGCTGCGACCCCACGCATGACCCAGGCGAGCCCGCCGCCAAACATGATGGCCTCCAATTCGCAGATGGGTATGATGATGGGAACGCCCAATATGCAACAGATGCACCAGGACCCTAGCATGGCTGCCGCTCAGATCGCGCAACGCCAACGGGCCCTGCAGCAGGCTCAATCCATCCCTCACGGCATGCAAAACGGAATGCCAAACGGCATGATGAATGGGAACTTCAACAATGGCCAGCAGATGACGCAGCAGCAAATGCAAATGGAAATGCAACGGCGAGCGATACTGGCCCAACAGCAGCAGCAATTGCCACAACACCAGCGCGGCAACATGCTCAACCAGCAGATGGCGCAGCGTTATGCGCAGCAGCTGAGCAATATGCAGCAAGGTAATCACATGGCAGGCGCGCAAATGTCACCACAGCTCCAGGCCCAGATGCAGGCACAGATTCAGGCTCAGCAGCAGCAGCAGCAGCAGATGGCCGGCAATCACATGCAGCGACCCATGATGAACGCCCAAAATGCCATGAATGGACAGGGAATGAATATGCAAGCCATCATGATGCAGCAGCAACAGCAGCAGCAGCAGCAGGCACAGCAGCAGCAAGCCCAGCAGCAGCAGCAGCAGCAAAACAACCTCAACCACTTTACATCGCAGATTCGGATGCAAAGTCAAATGCTATACAACAAGGGGATTCAGGACCTGGCGAACAAGTGGGGCGGCATCGCAGAAAACATCCCGGCCGAGCAACTGGAACAGTTCAAGAAGCACTGCCTCATGCAAGCTAAGAATAACGTTCAAGGCATGCTTCATCAACGGAGAGCGCTACAGCAACATCAGCAGCAGCAGCAACAGGCAGCTATGATGCAGCAGCAGCAGCAGCAGCAGCAGATGCAAGGAATGGGTGGCATGATGGGTCAAGGCCACCACATGTAGGACTTGTGCAGTGGCGTTGGCGACGAGGGGTGTGACGATGGATACGAGCCGATATTCTCAAGGGTGAGAGGAGTTCATGGGATTGAGGTAATGGCGGCGGCGGATGAACAGGCTCACGCGGTATTGCATCACTTATATACCCCTCGCAAGGCTTGTATGGTTAGGCGTTTTGCGGATCGGGAAGGGATTTCGGTTGGTTGTACTCAGTTGACGCACTCGCGCCTTTTTTTGAGCGAGCGAAAGTGATTTCGGGGTTTGTATCATAACTGGGCAGGCCATTCGGGCCATTTACTACAAGCTTTCAATTACCTCAAGTCTTTATCCTGATGGCGCTGCGAGTTGTGCTAGTACAGTCGAAAGTGGTGATTTCTTCGTTGGATTTGTGGGTTAGTCATCCCGGTAGCACCCATCACGTGCGCTCGGGAGATGTTGCGAGGTGCCCAATGATGTAATCTGCGGTGGCCCAGGCGCTGATCATCTCTGTCCTAGCTGCCTGGATGATCAAATAGCTATCTGGGCGCTATAACGACCTGCAAGTGACCTGGCCTGCTCCCTCGGCCTAGAGAACGACTCACACGACCCTTCAACGCTGTGTTTCTACGTCTGGCGCAAGCTTCATACATCGCTACTCTTTGTCGCCTGCCCAGTCGATTTCCCACGCTTCCCGATCCCAGATCTCTTTTTCTTTTAGGCCTCACGCGACACGCGCCCTCGACCAGTCGACACGATGCATTTCTCACTTCCACCGCGGACAGACACTGCCCTGCTGCTGTCGCTGTTGCTCGCGCCTCTTTCCGTGTCAGCCATGCTGCGGTGCGATCACATCCGCGTAGGCGATGCAGACTTTAATCTGTCAAAGCTCAGGGGCCCGCACTCAGTCGTCACGTCCACCTGGCACCCCCCTTCGCACGCCAACACGTCGTACACGCTGGACATTTGCGCGCCGTTGAAGAGGAAAGGTGACGTGAAAAAGGGCGACGAGTGTCCCAACGGGACCAGAGGTGCGTGACCCAGCTCTTGCCCTCTGCACCATCGTTATTCTGGCATGGCCTTGCCGTCTTACACGTTTACTGACGGGGTGGTCTCCTTTCTTGCAGTCTGCGCCATCGAGCGCTACATCCGGGACGAGGACGCGAAGCACGACGATATCGAGCGCGTCATACCGATCGCCGGCGAGCTCAAGGACTGGGGCGGCGGAAACCTGGACGCCAAGACGGAGAGGCTCAAGGGGTCCGATTCGCACGCCGACGCCGACAAGGAGGGCCTCCGTCTGATTCTGCAGGGCGGGCGCTATCCTTTGCACGACAAGAAGGCGCGCGCGCAGGAGGCCATTATCGAGTTCATCTGCGACCGCGAGAAGACGGGTCTGGAGGGAGAGACGACGCCGGAGGACCTTTACGACACGACGGCGAAGATGAGGGCGCGGGAGGAGAAGAGCGGAGATGACAAGAAGGATGGCGATGGCAAGAAGGACGGCGATGACAAGAAGGACGGCGATGACAAGAAAGGCGACGACAAGAAGGAGGGTGAAGGCAACGACCAAGACGGCAGCGAGAAGCAGATTCTGAAGCCTGATGCGGCCCTGATCTGGGAAAGCTATGGTCCGTCTGACAAGGGAGATGTCGATGTGCTGCGCTTGACCTGGAGGACTCAGTGGGCGTGCGAGGATGCGTTCAAGAACCCTCCCAAGGGCGGCAACGGGAACGAGGACGGCGGCGAGACTCCTGGCGCTGGCTGGGGGTTCTTCACCTGGTTTGTCTTAATGTACGCCCCCCCCCCCTCCCCCTCTCCTCAAGCATTCATTCTTCTGAAGACAGACGAATGTGCTGACAAGCGGCGAACAGCCTGTTCCTCGGCATCGCGGCATACCTCATCTTTGGCTCATGGCTCAACTACAACCGCTATGGCGCTAGGGGGTGGGATTTGCTCCCCCACGGCGACACGATCCGCGACGTGCCCTATCTGCTGAAGGATTGGGCGCGCAGCGTGCTCAACACAGTGCAGGGCAGCGGCACGCGTGGCGGCTACAGTGCGCTGTAAGCGCCATAAGAAAGCGGTGCACGAGGAAGAGCACGCCGGATATTGTGTGGTTGAGTCGAGGCTTGGCAGCTGCGTTTGAGGGGGGCGGAGGGGGACATATGGGAGCGCATACACTTTTGGTGCGGATTCCGTCGTTGAACAGCAGCATGTGCAGCGACGAGCCGCTCGTTGAGCAAGACTTGCTTTGTATGTATTTGTAGGACGTCCGGCGCTCTATACAAGTAAGCATTGGTTTTCTTTTCTCCCTTGGCATCGATTGCCCTGTCGAAGGTTGGACGAACTGCCTCTCGGAAATTTGACCGCGTGTTTAAAGTATACGATGCAAGTTTTCATCTGTTCTGAAGCAGCGGAAATACACATAGATACATCAACGTCTATTATTTTGTAGCGCCGAATACCAACGAAGGGGAATCATCAAACAGCGCTCTGCCTCTACCTGCATCACCATCTATATAACATCAATTCGCGTAAGCAGGAGGTCTATTCTCCCGACTCTGGCCTCTCACCGTCCTCTCATGCCACGGTCGCGACGATGGCCTCCTCGAGCACGTCCAGGCCCTGCTGGATCTCCGAGTCGGTGATGGTCAGGGGCGGCACGAAGCGAAGGGTGTTGGTGCCGGCCGTGATGACGAGGAGGCCGCGCTCGCGGGCCGCCTTGACGATGGGCGTGGGGTCCTGCGACAGCTGGGAGGCCGAGGATGAGGCCCTTGCCGCGGACCTCGGTGATGAGGGCCGGCCAGCGGGCCTGCCAGGCGTCGAAGCGCTTGCGGAAAATGTCGCCCTTGGCGACGACGCTCGTTTGCAGGGTCGGGTCGGCGAGGCGCGACACGATGTGGTGGGAGAGACGCGACGCCAGGGGGTTGCCGCCAAAGGTGGTGCCGTGATCGCCGACCTTGATCTTTGTCCGCGACGTGGGCGTTGACGAGGGTGGCACCGATGGGGAAGCCGTTGCCGAGGGCCTTGGCCGTCGTGAGGATGTCCGGGTGGGCCTCCTTTGGGAGGTGCGCGTGGGCCCAGAAGGTGCCGGTGCGTCCGAGGCCGCACTGGATCTCGTCGTAGATGAGGACGGCACCGACGGCGCGGCAGCGCTTGGCGAGAGCCGTCAGGAAGGCATCGGTGGCGACGGTGACACCGCCTTCGCCCTGGATGGGCTCGACAATGACGCCGCATGTCTTGTCAGTGACGAGAGCATCAATGGCATCAATGTCGTTGAGGGTGCCGACACGGAACCCCGGCAGCATCGGCGCAAAAGGCTGCTGGTACTTGGGGTTGTGTGTGGCGGACAAGCTGCCCATGGTGCGGCCGTGGAAGGCGTTGTGGAAGGAGACGATGTCGGTCTTGTTGCCGGAGGGGTCGATCTGCTTGCCGGTCTTGCGCGCAAACTTGATGGCCGCTTCGTTCGCCTCGGAGCCCGAGTTGCAGATGAAGACGGCATTCGCATCGTGCATGGCCCCGGCAGCGCGCGTCTTCTCCACGAGGAGCTTGGACAGGGCACCGGTCCAAGGGTTGTAGTAGAGGTTGGAAGCATGAACGAGGGTGGCGGCCTGGTCGGCGGCGAGCTTGGTGATCTCGGGATCACAGTGGCCTAGGGCATTGACGGCAATACCAGCGGTGAAGTCGAGGTATTTTCGGTTCTCGATGTCCCAGATCCAGGACCCCTCGCCCTTGACAAAGACAGGAGGCGGACGAGCGTAGGTGGCAACCATGTAGGGGGCATGCTCGGCCACGAGGGCGGCGCTGGGAGAATCATCGGTCGGGTCAGGGTTCGTGACGGCAGCTTTGTGTGACTGTAGTGAAGGGGGGCAAAAGTGGTCAGTCAAACATCAGAAGGGGTGGTGCTTGGTGCTTGGAGGGGTCTCTGTACGGACAGTGGTGGAGAGACCACGGCGAGCGAAACGGGCGCCAACAGCCACACAGGGCTGTGCCTTGGTCAATTGAACTCGGAAGGGTATTCGGAGAGCCATTGTGACGTGTAGAGGTTCGAAGAGAAAACAAAGTAGCCCTGGAAAACGGGAGAACGAGGTTGAGGGAGTTATGGAGGGTCAGTCACTCGTCAGACTCGATGAAGCTCGACAACCACCGACTTCAAAATCTGGGCGATATCGCTGGATGACTCGAACGTTGGGCGTTATCGATAGCATCCCGCAATTGATAGGCGATAACAGACATTCGCACTCCGAGCTTCGGCTGGAGCCTCGCCCCGCTTAGCTAAGGAGGGTGCGCGAAGGAAGGTACTTACCGTCGGGTCCTTAGGTACCCCAGGTAACTAAGGTGGTACCTAGGTACCTACCTAGGTAGGAGCCATCTGCGAGACTCAGCATTCTCCTCCTTCACTTCACCTTCTCAGACACTCTCCATGCAATGCTCTGCAGCATCATCAGCATCATCAGCTGTCGCACTGCAAGATGAGGCACCATCACGGCAAAACATATGCCAACGCATCATGGTCTCGATCATACATCACCTGAGAGACATGAGGTCCTCTGGCCCCCCCTGGCCCCCCCTGGCCCCCTTGTCACCTGAGGTCAAGAGACGAAAGCAAGCGGCCACTAGAATGCCAATTCGAGCCGGCTCACGTGGACCAGCTTCTCCAGCCACAAATCCAGAATACCTGATAGGCTACGATACCCTGGGATTCGGCATCCGGACATGAGAAAGTGGCTGGGGCCTGGGAGATGTCGCTCCTCTCCTCCGCACTTTCACATGCCAGTGGTCCATGATGACAACGACGACGACGACCTCAGACCCTCCGTCGCCTGGTGTCTCGTCTATTGTTCGCTCATTAGCATGTTTCCGGGCTACTGACACATGTGTCTCTTCTCTTCACCTTCCTCCTTCGGACTCCGATTTCTTTGACTGCCCCCACGGCAATTCAACTGCCTCTTCTTCATTCAAACCCGCATCAGCAAATGCCAGTCTGCCCCTCGTCCAATCCCCCCAGGACGCAAATACACCACCACATGCTACCATAGAGAACGAGTCAGGGCCTACAGCTTGGGAACGTTTCGCACGCTGGCCACCACGCTGTCATGTGAACGTGACGCAAAGCAGGCTTCTGTGCGACGTGCTCCAACACGACACCATTTCTTTGTTTTCTTCTGTTGATGATCATCTTCCCTTGACGCCATTCCACATTCCGCATCAGCATCAGCGTCTTCCTCTGCATCAAATTTGCACCTTCGAGCTTCCATCATGCTGGACCACGTCCTCGGCAGGCCATCCGTCAAGTCACGGCGCCTCCAGGTCCTGACTGTCCTAGCATTCTGGTCGGCTTACATGTATCGGTGAGACCTGGCCTTCCGTTCTTGACTCGCTACTCTGACGCCCTTGAGGGTCGGGTCGGTCACCTCACGCGCGCCGACACACATGCTGACCATCTGCCCAGAGGCCACAAACATGGCCCGGCCTTTGTTCGTTTTCTCTCCAGGTTTTGGAGCAAACGCCTCACGGCATGGCAGACGGTCGTCCTGACCATGATTTACCTCTACGCCGCCCGCAACTTTAGCACTCTTTTTGGCCTGGCCAGCCCCGAGCCAATGTCGAACATGTACGAGAAGGCCTACTTCCGCGCCACCTGGGTTCTGACTGCCCTCGACGCCGGTTTTTGGACCGCCATGAGGATACGATCCAAGTGGCTTCGCGATATCGCCAGCGTTGTCTTCTCCCTCTTTTACATGGTCGCCGCCGAGAGAGCCGACGAGAAGGTGCGCAAGGTTCGGGGCATGTTGACCGTCGAGCACCTTCGTGTCTCGTGGAACAAAGGCACAACACCCTACATCAGCTTCTTCCAAGGCCTCATGCGACCGCGTCTTACGCGATGGCCGCCGCGCGCCGTCCGCATCCCGCGACCCGCCGGCAGCGACTATACCGATCCCGTGTCTGCTTGGCTGTATTATGATGGTCCACTGGCCGACCTCGAGCGGCACAACAAGATCGTCCTCGATATCCCTGGTGGTGGCTTTGTCGCCATGGATCCACGATGCAACGATGACAAACTCTTTGCTTGGGCCGTCAAAACGGGTCTTCCGGTTCTCAGTCTCGACTACAAAAAGGCACCCGAATTTCCCTACCCATATGCGCTCAACGAGTGCTTTGATGTCTACACAACCATCATCAAGAGCCGCGGCCGCTGTATTGGCATGTCCGGCAAAGACATACCCACGTTGGTCCTCACGGGCGACAGCGCCGGAGGGAACCTGGCCACAGCCACCACCCTCATGATCATTGAGCGCACGTCGCCACCGATGAACCGGTACTTCAACCAGGGTGACCTGCCTCTGCCTGACGGCCTGGTTCTGTTCTATCCAGGTCTTGATATGAATATTGGCAATTGGATGTCTGACGAGCAGATGTCTCTGATGAAAGATCGTCGCATGCGGGGCACCAATAAGTCCATTATTCGCCGCAAGAGCATGCAGTACAATGATCTCGTCGGAACCCCGCATCAGTCTGATGACGAAGACGAAACAACGCCGCCGAAGCATCCGTCTCTCAATCTCAGGGCTGTCAAGAGCCCGGTAGGCGACACCGCAAAACAACCTCTCCAGAGTCCACAGCCGGAATACTCACATAGCGGGCCTCGAAACCTGACCAGCCCTGGCGCCTCGTCGACGGCTGCTGCTGCTGCTACCGCTGCCGCATCCTCTTCTTCTCCCGCAACCGAAACACTCAGCCGAAAGAAGAGCACGTCCCACCATGCCGAACCACTTCGTACCCGCCTCGCCATGTCATCTATGATCTCGTACTTCAATGACCGTGTTCTCACGCCTGAGATGATGCGTGCCATGATCATCCTTTACATCGGCCCCCACAACCGCCCAGATTTCAGCCAGGACTACTTGCTCTCGCCTGTTCTCGCGCCCGATGCTCTGCTCGCCAAGTTTCCCAAGGTTCACTTCCTCACCGGCGAACGCGACCCGCTCGTCGACGACACCGTCATCTTTGCAGCGCGCCTGAGACAGGTGAAAGAGGCAATGTGGGAGCAGCAGCGGGCACACGAGGCAGACAGGGACGAGTCGAGGAAGGGCACGCGCAGAGACAACTTCAACGAAAAGGACGTCGCCGAGGTGGCTCTTCTGCCGGGTGTCTCGCACGGGTTCTTGCAGTTCCCGACCGTCTATCCTCCGGCATGGGGGCTGATCGACCGGTCCGCCGAGTGGATTAGCGACATTTTTGCTCAAGCAGATGGCGGACGGCGAAGGAGGACGCGCGAGCAGAAGCTCGGCAGGCGACAGGTGGACGACTTGTCGGCCAAGGCCAATGGGTCGGGCAAACACCACTCGCGGACCCTCACGGAATCGAGCGCAGACGAAGACCGGCCGCTGGAGATCGCCATGACAAGGGCGGGGCGTGGCAGGGAGCGGACCCGGGGCGCGGGAAGGGGCAAGGGTAAGGAGGTGGCGTATGAAGATGCACGGGACGCGGAGGCGGGCGTAGAGCCCATCGACGAGGAGCGCGACGGAGAGACAAATGGAAGAGTGAGGCAACGACAGGCCGTGAGGCCGCGGAAACGGGACGACGGGAAAGAGCTTGAATAAGCTCAAAAGCTCAGACGACCTGCTCGGTCGTAGGATGCAGGGCCTCGCTGGAGGACTCACGGGCTTGGGAGAGGAAGACTAGACACATGATAGACGTAGCAATGCACCACCAGCACGGTTCTTGACACAAATACAGGGACGCCAGCACGTGGTCATGCCCACGTATGGTTCACTTTCATGTAGATCCCGATTCTACTGCTCTGTGGGCTGATTTTGGTTCGGCAGTTGGGTTGTTGGCGGCAGCGCTACAAAGACGTCAAAAATGCTGTGACTTTCACCGAGGGCAGTGCCTAAGCTATTGCCAGTCGTCTCGACACTGGACAACCCCCAACCTCCATTGCTACACATCTCTCGGGCCCGGCCCCTTGGACTATCCCGTCGCAAATGCCGCCCGACTGCCGGGTGACCGTTCACCCCCAGCTTCTGTCAAGACGGGAGGCCCGGAAATGAGGGGAACAGTCGCCAGGTGGGAATAACCAGGATTAGCATCAACGGCGACGCTCCCGACTGGGCTGATGACCCGGTTTGCAGAAAATAATGGATCTGATAAAATGCACAAGCAGGTTTTTGTGACGTGAGCGACATTGATGGAGCCTCGGAGCGGCAGCATTTTCTCTCGTCCTTCGAGTCATAATGCTTGCTGTAGGGGTTGAACGCGACACAACTGACGATGCCGTTATCATGGAACAGGCTGACGCTCGAAGAACCTGTATTTGGATTAAAGTGCTGGTGCCCCTTACACGAGCTTTGACGGCGAGTAAGCTTAGTTTTAGGTAAAAAGTCAAGCGGCTAATGGTGTTCACAGCCCCGAGCTAGATTGAGTCGTGAAGCTACAATTATGGGCCACGGTAGGGATCTCTAACCTATCAACCTGCTTGCCATCCGGCTGGTAGGCTCGGGCCACCCAGATGGGAAACCCCGGCAGATGGTGATCAGCAACTTCTTACGCGCAACACAAGAGAACCGAATGGGAGACCGGCGCAGCTTGCTCAGACGCGCCATATGGTTCACTTGAGGCGAAGCAGAGCCCCCGCTTTGTCATCGGGTTTGAACTCTAACAGCTTGAGTTGAGTCGGTCACTGCCAAGTCGCGGCACTGCTTCATGCGATATATTGCGAGCATGACTCGACCACGTTACCAGTGCATGGATGTAGCAAACTCTCACAAAGTGTTGTGATCAGGGGTCTCATCAATCAACATGCTGAGTTTATCAAGCGAGAGAGTCATGGTTAGAGCTGTTGCTAAAAGCCGGTCAAGATATCTATACGTTCAGGGAACTGCATCCTTCTTGTCCCCCTCGTCTGCTCACACTCCTTTGTCAACCACAGCCGCTCCTTCGACCCTTAGTCACTCTCTACATATTCAAAAATGCAAATCTCACGTTCTCTCAAGACGATGCTGGTGTCCGGCGTGACAGTCAGCTCGCTGATTGTGCCCTGCTCCGTCAAAGTCAAGAACGGCACGGCTCCGATAAACAGCATCGCCAGTTCTGTGATCAGTCCTGCCAGCTCTGCGGTCAGTCCTGCCAGCTCTGCGGTCAGTCCTGCCAGCTCTGCGGTCAGTTCTGTGATCAGTCCTGCCAGCTCTGCGATCAGTTCTGCCCCTGCCCCGACCAATGGCCCAGGGAGCAGCGTGCCCGTCGGTTCGGCCATCCGCAGCTGTACCGTTCCCGGCACCTTTGCCCTTACATTCGACGATGGCCCTTTCAACTTTACGGATCACGTCCTCGACCTCTTGAAGGCGGCTGGTGTCAAGGTCAGTCACTGTCCTGCTCCGTCGAGCCGAGTGCCCCTAAAAACACGGCTAACACCAAAGGCAGGCCACATTCTTCGTCAACGGCCAGAACTGGGGAGACATCAACGACTACAAGCCGACAGTCGAGCGTATCCTGGCGGAGGGTCACCAGCTCGGCTCCCACACCAACAGGCACCCTGATCTCACGACTCAGTCCGACGCGGAAATCATTGAGGACATGACCACGTTGGAAAACACCCTGATCAGCCTCGTTGGAAGGTTCCCGACTTACATGCGGCCCCCGTTCTTCGCTTACAACGACGATACGCTGTCTATTCTCGGTGCCCTGGGCTATCATGTCATCGACGCTGACCTTGACACGAACGACTGGCGCTACAACAACCTGGGCAACGAGACGGCCGTCGGCATCTTCCAGCAGGGGCTTGCTGCCGGCGGTACCATCGCTCTGGCCCACGATGTACGTTCTACATTTCCCTGCGTCACACCTGCGCCTTGGCCTCGAGACCGTCGCCAACCCCAGGTACCCTGAACAACCCCAACTAACAGATTTCCAGGTCCACCAGAATACCGCCGAGGTGCTCGTGCCCGAGTTCCTCCGCGTCCTCGCCGCGACGAATCTCACCGCCGTCCCCGTCGGCCAGTGTCTCGGCGACCCGGAGGAGAACTGGTACTCCACCACGCGCACGGCAACCCCGACCGCCACCGGCGTCCCCACTCCCGTTGTCATCACGAGCACCGTCACGCCCACCGGCGTCATCGGACCCGACGGTGCTTGCGGCGGCGATCAGGGATTCGTCTGCCTGGCCGGCACCTGCTGCAGCCAGTTCAACTTCTGCGGCACGAGCAGAGACCATTGTGGCACCGGGTGCCAGAATGCCTTTGGCGTCTGCGCTTAGGCGGGCCTGTAGTTCTTGTGCGCCCCTGGCGTCTTTTTTCGTCAAGGGGGATGCGTGTTGCGAAGCTTGTTAATATCACTCTTATAGACTTGTAAAGTTTCCTCCTGTATTACCATCCTGGACACGTGGCTAGACCTGTTGTTCCTTGTAGACCGATATACTTAAGTATTCTAAGACTAGACTTCAAGGGCACACTGCCTGGTTCACTGTGGCAATACATTGTAAGTGATCTCCGTAGATCGCCAGTGTGGAACGTGATATCATAAGCCTATCAAAAAGTGATTCACTGGAGAACCCAGCAAATATACATCAGTATATGAACCAGGCAACCGGTTGCAGACGACGTCGCACGTAGGCAAACGATGCCGCGAGTTTTGAGAATATCTTTCCATGAACACGACAAGGTGACGGCGGCAGCGCACCCACGAAATGCAGACTCTGTGGTCTTCCCGGCCTCCGTAGTTACACAGAACAAGGGCCTCGTGCTGCTGCTCACCACGTCACACTGCCTTTGGTGTACTCACTCGCTCAAACCACAGTCAGCCTCCCCCGCCACTCGCCGACTACTTGTTCCACCTCGGCCCGGAGCACAGCCTTTCTCGCCTCGTCGCACCAGCTCCCCTCAACCGCACCCATGGCGACGCCGGCCCACTCATCGACGCTCAGATCGAACGCGTCATGCACGGCGCAGTAGTTCTCCAAAATGTACCCTCCAAAGTAGGCCGGATCGTCGCTGTTGATGCTGAACCTGACGCCGGCGTCGAGGAACTTGCGGATGGGCAGGTCGGCGAGCCGCGCCGCGCCCGCGCAGCACCACGTTGGACACGGGACACAGCGTCAGCATCGTCTTGTCGCGGGCGAGCTGCGCGAGCAGCGTGTCGTCCTCGGCGGCGCGGCGGCCGTGGTCGATACGAAGCACGCCGAGGTCGGCGAGGGCCGACGACACAAAGGAGGGGGGCCCTTCCTCGCCGGCGTGGGCCGTGAGGTTCTGGATGCCCGCTGCCTTGGCCGCGTCGTAGACAGAGCTGAAGAGGGCGGGCGGGTACGGCGCCTCTGAGCTCGACATGCCGAAGCCGATCAGGGTGCCGTCGTCAAAGTGGCCTGCGGTGACGATTTCGTCGAGCATGCTGTGAGCAGACAGGACCGGCAGGTGGCGGAGGAGACAGGGAACAAAGGCCACGGACAGCTGGGGGAAGTCCACGCGGCGCGGCGGCGAGCCGTCGACAGTCCCTCGATGACCGTCGCGTACGAGACACCTCGCGACGTGTGCGCCTGGGGATCGAAGAAGACCTCGGCATGCCGGACCGATTGGGCGTGGGCGATGGCGAGGTAGGCGTAAGCCAGGTCGGCAAAGTCGTCGGCTGTCAGCAAGACGGAGAAACCAGTGTAGTAGTACTGTAGAAAGTCGTCGAGTGACTCGAATTCACGGTAGCGAGCGCGGAGTGCCGACGGACTTGCAAAGGCGGCATCAGTGTCCGAAGGCAGGGTGACGCCGTTCTTCTGAGCCAGTTGAAAGAGAAGCTCGGGCGAGAGTGTACCCTCGATGTGGACGTGATGTTCACATTTCGGTAGAGCTTGGAGAAAGCCGTGAAATTGGTCTGTACACATGATGACACTTTTCCGGCCGGAGGGAGGAAGAGGCGTACGTCGATGTATTCACTTGGCTCTGAATATGGATGATCTGTGATGCACAGGCGAAGCAAGTAACTCCTTGTCGCTGAGCAGCTATTTCAATCGGGTTGCAGGACCAGTGAGTGACTCGGATCCGTATCGTGCAGCCTTTTGTCAACACTACGATAAGAATTTTGGGTGCATCATTCTCAACGACCACGAGGCGTCTATGTATGGTGGAGCACCGCCATCGCCCTCAGGATTTCAGTGAGAATCTCTGATCAGTGAAGACTCAACTGATCCATAGCGAAGCTCCTAATTATGCACAGAACCCTCGTCCATGCGGCACGATACGCCAACCGTGGTAGACGAAGTAATATTCCCAGAATGTCACTGGAGAGTACAGACCCTGGAAGTGGAGCGCTTGCGAGATGTTCCTCATTGAACGTTGGTATTGACCAGCTCTACCTGTGAACTGGCCTAGACTGGCACATCATTCGAGAGCTCCAGCCTTGCTCATGGCCCCTCCTCAATACCCCATTGTCAGTGGAGAGACCAGCTGCGCTTGCGGCATTAATGTCCACTGACAAGGACACCATAAGCAAGAAGGCCGACAGGGAACGGGGGCACCTGACAAAGCTTGTAAGGGAAGGGGGAAGGGGAGCCACGCGGACGGGCGGCGGGCTGACGATGCGGTCGGAGAAAGGCCGAATAGAGCAAAACAGGGCGAGATATAGGAGAAAGGAGAGAGCGTCAGGAACGAATGACTGTCCCGCCCGTCGCTCGACAGATGGCGATTTGACCAGGAGATGGTCCCAGATCTTGGGACGGTTCGAGTCTGGGGTGTCAAACGTCGGAGTTCATCGGGGAGACGGTCGCAGCGAGGCTTGGTCGTACGCTTGGCTCGCTCGTCTAGTTGATCCACAGACTGGCGATCTGCCTGGCGATTCTTCGACGCAGAGCCAGGGATGACGGAGAGGAGCGACTATGAGAGCACTACAACCTGAGCACCGAAATGGGGATTCCGACTGCTTACAGCCAGCGTTGCAGGCTTGAATCACCGTGGAATTACCTTTCGGAATACCCCGTCGCGTATCGCACATGTTCGTCCGCTACTCACGTGCCATGACCGAAAAGTGAGCCCTGCGCAGGCTCTGTGCAAAAGACTGGAAGTACACAGGAGACAAGCCCCCAGATGGCTGGACTTTCACGACGTTGTAAGGATCCCCCCTGTCAGAGGCCATGGGTCTACAAAACGTCAACCATGCTAAGAAGGGTTGATCAGCGATCAGGGCCAGGAATCCCAATGTGTAGGACCCGCCCCCAAATCCTTGTGGGGACGGGTCGGCGAGCCAGGCAGACAAGACAGGATGCGCGAGACAAGCTGGCAGATGAGCGTCGGGGCATGTCCCGAGACGGGTTGATGGATCGTGGAGGTCCGAGGCCTGCTTGCCGGTCGTGTTATTGTAACACGATCCGTCGCAACCACCGATCGAGCTTCTTTCGCCTTGACCGCCTGTCGGTCACAGTCCAGCAGCCCTCCCTCCCTCGTCAGGCAGTTGAACATGCCGGCGAGCAATGCCAAAAGCTTGACGATGGGATTGGCTGTCGACGCTTCCCACCCCCAGTATCCTCGACGGCCGGGCGGGAACCGGAAGGGGATTTAATGCCTGGTATGCATGGTGTGCGTTCGTGCGTGCGGCCCTCATGCCGCTGTCCACTTAACCTTGGTGACAGCCGCCCGCGTCAATCTGGCCGGCCGGGGCTGGTGCCAGTGCCTATGCCTGTGCCCCGTTGCCTTGTTGTGCAGCGCCTTTGCCCGCTCGTGTCTGCGTCCGTAGACTCGGTCGAGGGTCGGAGTACGTTCGAAGGTGTACAGCATGGTGCATTCCCGCTTTTCCTTAGACCAAAGAGAAGAAAAGTGACATGGTATGAGGCAGAGCAAACGGGGGGAAGAAAGAGAAGATCACGGAGTGGAGCTCACAGGCACGCAAGACGTGTACCTGTGCACAACTGGCTGAGGGCAGTGAAGATAGTGGACGCCAGCGGCACCGGTCCGGGAAACCCCATCCTTTGCCATCACCTCTTATGACTAGAGTGGTATAACACATGCCGTCGTTTCTCGCCTGGCCGACAGTGACCCCGGGCCTGGCCTAGGACAGGCACGTACCCGTCCGCTATACTGGCCG